GTTGTTCTCTCCCTTGTCACGAGGGCTTTTCGCCAGGTTCTCTGGTTTCTCCTCCGTCCGTAGTTGTTCTCTCCCTTGTCACGAGGGCTTTTCGCCAGGTTCTCTGGTTTCTCCTCCGTCCGTAAAAATCAGATGTAAGTTGTGRGTTGTGAGTTGAATACATAGAATATCTAATGTAATGGTAGKGTTTGTKAGTGACAGTGGGCCAAATTGGAAACCAGTATTAAGTTACTAATATAAAATCGTGATTTATTTATTTATTGAKTCACTCACTTGGCCTCGCTTTTGTCTTTTGGTTTTCTCCTCACTTCAACCTTGAAGTAAGTGTGAAAGGTGTCAGATTCTTCGAGCTGAATTTCGCGGTGCAAGATCGGCTTCTCGTCAAGCTGAAGAAGGAAATTACTGTATTAGGCACTGGTTAGAATTTATCCCCCTCCCCTCCCCCCCCCTCCCACCCCAAGAAGCACTATCTTATGCTACGTTTCCCCCTCAATAAACCGTTTTCTCAAGGTTGTGTGCACATCCAAATTTAAGCAACTTGATGAGAACAGAACACGAGCTTTATACACCCTTCTCATAATGGCTGACGAGCGCACAAAAACGAGGTCACCCAGTCATCTTGCAAGGCTGAGCAAGGCTGCTCTTTCAGAATGAAGGTGGATAGCGCGAATACAGGTCAAAGCAAGAGGTAAATTACTATACTATATTCTTCTATAAACGCATTCAATGTACTTCTATATCTTGTATTGTGGACTAATGACTGGGTGACCTCGTGTTCGTGTATTTTTCAGCCATTATGTGAACGGTGTATAATGAGTATAGCCATGCATTTTTATGAAAAAAGTTTCTATAAGAATTCATAAAATCGATTATTCTCCTTTTGATTATAAAACCGGTTTCTCGACTTTACTGAATTTGCGTTCAATTTTGCGTTCAAAATGGATGCGCACGCAATCTTGAGAAAACGGTCTATAGTAGTTTTGGCARCAGCACGCAATGATGTCGATTTATATTAATAGCTCACCACAAGAGAATACAACAAAATATGAATTAAGACGGCACAATGTTACCAATATAAGAAAGACAAAATGGTCCTGTCAAGATGGCCGCCGTATGATTGTCGCAGTAGGCCTCTCTACTCCTTCTCCCTGATGCGGACAGAGTACTTTTAAAAAGCGATTCCGATTCCGTGTGCCTAATAGCTATTAACCATTGAATATGTGCGCAAACGGGAACTGGTTTTACTTACAAACAGGTTGAGCTGYTCTGCCTTGATGGTTGCTAATTTGTAATCCTGGCTTGAACAATGCTTAGACACCCAGATGTGAAGATCATGAATGAATGTCTAGTAGTAAAATGATTCAATGTTAGATTGCCAAGCAGGCAAGCAGGCAAGCAGGCAAGCAGGCAAGCAGGCAAGCAGGCAAGCAGGCAAGCAAGCAAAGATGATACATGGTCAGCTACTTACAATTGCAGCCTTGTGCCAACAGAGTACAATGTAGGCCCTGTCGTTGTAGAATCTACAGTAGGGTTTCTTCTTAGTTTCCTCCGACTCCCACACCTTCTCTTCCTCCTTCACCAGTTCAGTCACCTACAATATCAATAACAACATGTGCGTTCACCAACTTGGCTTTGATCATTATCGGGTGGTATTGCATATATAGAATATTTCAAAAAAGTTAGTCAACAAAAACCTAGAAAGCTGTGATCGCTGAGAATCATGGGAAATAGTTCATATTCAACAAGTAAAGCTTTTGACACAAACTGCAGCAGTTGAGGATGCTCAGAGGAGGTAAACTTGTAACTGGTAGAAGAGCTCAAGTCCATCAACAGTTATCAAGCGGTTGAAACATGTAAAATGTATCTACCCATGATCCTTGCCGGTCTCAGCTTTGTAGCTTTTCAGGTGGCATGGTGTGACTAACTTTATTGAAATAAGTTTTTACAATAGACCATTTTCAATAAACTTCTAAACYACCGCTATGTTACTTGATTAGAGGCTCATTTACACAGGGTTAGCCTCGATTTTGTTGTGCGGRATATTCATGTGTYCTAGTGAATGTCCGTGGAATTATTGTGTTTGCATCGTTGAAGTTCAAACCTTTTGTTATTAATTAAGTCCTCCAAATTGAGCTGCATTCTGATGTGCTCTAAGGGGTCTATTCAAGGACGCTAGTGTGACGTCATCATCGTCATATTGAATGACTTCACAAAATCATCGAGTCCAAAGTTTGATTTTTTAAGGTTCATTTTAAAATAAAGTTGTAAGTTTTCACACACAAAAAATTATTTGGTGCTAATAATGAAATAAATATATATTTTCCGAGCAGTGAAATCACAAATGGTATCTCAAATATTTTACGCTACGCCGGGTATCCTCGATAAACACGTTAATTAACGTATTTTCTTGCTAAATCATTAACTTCTGCGTCCATCCGTKTTATTTTTTTGTAAACAATAAACACTTAAGAATGCCCTGAAGCAAAATTGAGTTGATACTCAAAAGCTTCGATTGGGTCGATTGATCTTTAGAGCGACTAACAGTAAGGGGGACGGACATGCCGTGTCGTTCTTGGCTGTGAGACGCGAWTAGCGGCGACGCAGCTGCGGCGACATGACAAAAAAATGATTTATACAAAAATATTGGAACCTCCTTGACTTGACTTCGCATAAGTCCAATATATTAACAAAAATATTAACAATCATAATATTTAACAGCAATAATAATATTTAATAGGGATAATAATATTTAGTAGCGATAATAATAACAGTGCCGTGACCTTGTCCGCGCCGAGTTTATGCCATGTTCCGAGTATTTGATTGAATGGAATGTAAATTCTTGAGGAATGTGATTGGTCTGGCGTATCTCTTGCCGTTTCAAGACCGTGTTCGTGCCGTGAGCTTTTCACTCTAAAACGGATACCAGCGCCGTGCCGTATCTGTCGGTTGCACATACCTGTGAATTATAGACCTCCCAGATCATGGGGTGTTTTTCCTTGATCGACTTGACATTGGCCCACAGAGGGTCACTCTTGGCTGTCTTCCGATATTCCTGATGAAGAGTACGAAAATGAATGGTCAAAACGTGTAATTAATGGATGGATGGATTGATGAGATAAAATGGATGGATGAATGGATGGATGGATGTGGATGGATGGATGGGATGGATGGTTAGATGGATGGATGGATAGATGGATGGAATGGGATGGATGGTTAGATGGATGGATGGATGTATAGATGGATGGGATGAGAGGATGGGATGAATGGGACGGATGGATGGATGGATGGGATGGGATGGAATGGATGGATGGATAGATGTATAGATGGATGGGATGGGATGAATGGGACGATTGGATGGATGGATGTGATGGGATGGATGGGATGGATGGATGGATGGATGGATGGATGGGACGGATGGATGGATGGATGGATGGATGGGATGGAATGGAATGGAATGGATGGATGGATGGTTCTCGTATAGCAGGTGAAAGAACCAACATAAATTAATAATATTGAAAAATTAGCATAAGGATCATATTCAGACACATTAATCAATAGACAAGAAAAAGACAATAAGTCAAAATAAAAGAGCTAGATTTTATATAGAAAAACAAACAAAAGTACTCTAATCGTATAATTAATACAAGAACAACTTGTGAACAGAAAATACGCCATTACTTTCTGATTATTGACTCTATTCTTTTTTCTCTTCTCATGTGTTATGTAACGGCCTCTCATTGTTCTCTTCTCTCGTCTTGCCCTTTCCTTTCCTTTCCTTTCCTGTCCTGTCCTGTCATTCTTACCTCTCTTCTCGTCTTTCATATAAACTTCCACAAACTAAAATCGACTAGGCTCCTAATCAAATGCTCCTAATTCAATTTTGTAGTGAATAATAACATTTCTTATATTGCATTCAAAATCCTGTGTAGACACAATAAATATTTACAAGCTTGACTGGTTAGTAAAAGAAATGTTAATTAATATACTTCAATCTGAGTTGTCTATAAATTCAATCTAACGACAAATAGAGAAAAAGAATTTCTTGCTTCGAAAAGCCGCATAACGAATAAAAATTTCAGTTTCAAGAATATTTTTACGTTAAAAATGTGAAACGTTTTTGGAGTTGCATATCTATTTAACAAACTCATTAATAATTCATGAGGAAAACACAAAGTAAATCATGACCACCTGAAAAGGTTTATAATTCTGATACAGAATCACGTTCATTTGCATAAACTTTAACTTGGATTTTCCTGGGCAGACTAACTTTTACCTTGAAAATTTAGTGAAACACAAAGGAACTAACCTAGACGTTTGTTATTAAGCAATATACAATATTCGTGTCCGTGTTCTGTGTATAGGATATATAAACTATCGGCTACGTCTCGAGTTTATATATCGTACACAACACAGCCACTCATACTGCAGGCATACTCTTTCTAGTATAGAAGTTTATGGATGATTTAAAGTTGCAAAGACTAAGAAAATGAATCTAAGTATCCTAAAAGACTAAAACGAGGTCAACAAGTACTCTCTCATGACCGAGTTCATTCACTTCCTCGTTTGAATTCGTAAAATATTTTCATAAAATATATTTACTTAAATTAATAGTAAGTTCGTGTGTATACTTTTTTGTATACAAAGTTTCTTATTTTAATTCTTTCGTGTTTATTCAAATGAAAATGAATAATATTAGCAACAGTTTTGAAGCTAGTTCGTCTGTTATTGTCCTCTGGAGTTTTAAAACTTTGTCCTCTAAAAGCCATAGCTGTAATAGTTATAATAAAGCTTTGCAAATGAATAAATAAATAATTCAGATAAAAGTGTGAGAAGGTTGAACTGAAGTCGCTCGTTAGAGTATTAAAGCCGTTTTCGAGAAGTTTATATTCCCTTGAATTGAATTAAAAACACGAGACAACTGTACGTATAACAAATTAAGGGAAGTCCAAAAAGAAAGAAAAATATTTATAGGATTACTTTTTAAACGCCATTTTCGAAAATTAAACATCGAAATTATGCATTCAATCAAACTTAGGTTAATTAAAATAAATTCTCTTGTGAACTTTAGGGAGTAATCTTATTCAGTTGCATTGGTACTCGTTCAAATAAACAACTATTTACAAGAAACATACTTTGATAAACTTATCTGTATAATGCGTATCAATTTTTTTTTTCCTCAAGATTTTATGGCTGTTAAAGGGATAGCTTAAGATTTGTATTTGAAGTTGAGAAAGTTTTAAATTATAAAAATACTGGCAGATTGGATTTTATAAGTGCGCTTACTTGCTTGAAAAAATATATAGAACCTTAAGACAAAAATAAAACATTTACAGATGAAAACTGAGAAACTTTTACAATTTTGTAATCTGAAATTATGCAAGATTTCATGCTCTCAAGCTATTTGAGCTAATTAGTATGACACAAAACTTTAGCTTCAGTTTTTCTTAAATAGCGAAATTTGGAAGATTATGAAAAATTGTATACCTCTTCATCGATGGTCATCGAGCTGTATTCAACCACGCATTTTTTCCACGGATAATCCGTTCGCTCAACTCCATTGGATTCGAGCGACATTTTACAAGCTTCCGTTTATATGCACTTTAGCAGTCTTCTTCCTAGCTAGCCGTATAACAAGTACCTGGGTTGGACCACTAGATATTTGAATCTGAAAGCCTCCCTTAGGATGTCATAGAGCTAGCCAGTCATCCAATGGCCCGTGCGGTTACCATAGTGATATACTATTACGATATGGACCCTTTTCTTGAGACATCAACCACTGAATAATGCAATCTTTTTTATTTTTTGACATTTTGACAACAAAAACAATGAAGTTCGTTTTTATTAAATACGACGAACGAAAATGATATATTTCTAACCTTGGGCTAAATTATTTTCTTCTTCTTGTGTAGTTTGAATTTTTTAATGTCAAGCAGAGTCCTTTGAATGGTTGTGTCAAATAGCTTGTCGTTGAAGCGTAGAGTCGATACAAAAGAAATAAAAACAAGCTTTTATTATCTGAATTTGGTCAATCAAGCTAAAAATTGAGACAAACCTCGGTACAATTGAATAATTTTATCCACTTTAACTTTCGCACGCAAAAACGCTTCAGGGAATACAAAAATGCTCAAAAGGATTTCTTAAATTGTTTTTATCCTTACAATATAACTTCTGTCTAGTTCATATTGTTAAATATTTATTGGATAAATTAATTGATAGAGTCGAGAGTACTTAGTGTTTACACAATGGGAGTTATTCTTTATGTAGAATTTTGTAAACAATACCATATATAGATGAAATTTGCTCTCTTTCGCTTCTGTTTGTTATAAAATATTCATGCTTCTAAAATTATGGTCTCTGGAAGTGTGCTAGAATAAAACACACTAGAATGTGAACTGGACAGAAGAAGAAGAAGAAAAGAAAGAAAGAAGGCGAAAAGAAAATGTATTTGGAAAAAGGAAGCGCACAATATCAGTATTTGAAACAAGAATTTTTTAAACCCTCGACATTATATCTATTAAGGACCACAACTGAAGAGGCGCTAGCGAGAGGGTAGGGGAAGGGGCACCTATGTCCTCCAGTCCGAGCCTAAGGCCCGTTTACACGGAAGGTAAAGGATGAACTTGTAGAGTTTTATTCTAAGTCCGGTCGTGGATAGCGCTATCCGACGGATCAATCTAATCCAGTTGACAAATTCACTTGGATAACAGCATCGAATCATCCACTGGATAATAATTTATCCGTTGGATAGCGCTATCCACCCTTTCGTATAACCGGGCCCTGGACTTCAAATTACATGATCAATGTCTCTAAATAGAAGAGCAAAAAAAAAATATATATATATATATATATTTTTTAAATTTCCAAAAAATCGCCGTTGTAAAGTGTCCTTAATAGGGCCTCGCTGCATGTCGTCGTCGTCGTTATTTTTGTATAGCCGTTTCAAAGCCATGCTTCATATCGAAATTTAAACCTAACTGGGTTCAGTGCAACAAGAACGAAATCTTAAACACCACGTAAAAGTTTATAACAATACTAGTATATACTCACTGACGCTTCAGATCAGTGCTATTCCCTTCGTCCCACATGGCACCTCCCTGCTTCGTCCTAGGAGTAGCCTTAGGACTGAGTTCTGTTAACCGCAATTTCCGTCCACAAATCTCGCATCTGATCTAATCTAATCTTATCCATCTTATCTTTTTTATCTTAAGAAKGCAAGGGAAAGGAAAGGAAAGCGAATCTTTATTTTCCCTACATTGTTTATTATATATATTTCGCTTTTCCCGATTTAGGGGGGAGGGGTGGTGTTACCCGGTACCCACCACCTCTGGAAGTGAAATCTTAGATTTTGACCCCAAATATCTCCAAAACTAAAAGCCAAATCACAGAAATGAATGGATTGTCTGTCTGCATGAATCTAAAAAACATATTCGTGTATAGCGAAATTGCCACTACAGACCCCCAGTATCGAGCAATTGAACAGTTCTCTGAGGGGGGAGGGGGTATGTACCGGTACCCACCACCTTAATTCATAAAATCGGGTCCCTATTTTGGACCATTGTTTTGGCCTTGCCCCTAAATATAACCTTGTGTGCTATATCACATGATAATACTGAGGTTAAATGCTGAAAGATTATTATGTTAGAATCATCATCATCATTATCATCATCATCATCATTAACATCATCATMATTAAAAGTAGGACAGGGTCGATGATTACCGGATTGGGAAAAACTGTGACGGTGTCAGTTCACCTAAAGTTGAATTTTTCATTTCACCATTTTAAGTGAGATAAAAGATAAGTATAATAAAATAAAGATAAAAATAATATTTCTGTTGAGTGGCATGCCCAAATTTCTTTGGTCTCGGAATGATGTWCTTCCGAGTCCCATTGCTCACAAAAACATAAAAATAAAGCCAGAAAATGTTTGAAATAATTTAATATCTTCACCTGCAATAATCAGAACTTTGGATAATAAATCCTATCATGAAGAAAAAGTAATAACATCTGTATTTAATTAACTAATTTCCTCCAGTTTTCAGTTGTATTTTGGGCTTATTTACCATGATTTTCGTCATCTAGCCGTCAAAATGTTGTGGACTCACGAGGCATAGAAGAAAAACGTGGTAAATAAGAGGACATACAACGGAAAACTGGAGGAAATTGTTTTTTTACCACAGAAAAACAACAATTTTACTAGGAATACAAGGGTAAACTTTACTCTCGTTTTCCCACAGGTAGCCCAACCGTATACATTATACTGTTTTATCATATAATATATGGAACGAATGGGACTTCATAAATCTTCATTTTCGGAAAGTGCAGTTAGATTGAACGAAATTCGCTCACAGTGAAGCTAAGAACAACCAAAACACACTGTAGAAGTTTCAGTGGATTTTATTAAAATTTAATGAACGAAAATGAAGATTTATGAAGTCCCATATATTATATAGTCACAGTACAATGTATACGCTTGGGCTACCTGTGGTTTTCCTAGTAAAATTGAAAATGAAATTWAAAAAAATGGTTTCAAGCGCCCACGTGATATGTTGACGTAATTCATTGGTATATCCTCCTATCTCCCCCTGCTCTAGACCAATCAGGTCGCGAGAAAATTCGCAAACTTGTAAAAAATTGAATTACCATTTAAACCCGGAAGTCTTTTCCATCGAAACGTTACACTTTTTTAAGCCCTATAGGGTATATACGTATTTCATTTAAGGGGTACACCCCTCACTTTTTACAAAGTTTCGCTTTCGAAGACGGACATCCGGTTGGTCAGTTAACCCATTTTAGGATAGATCAAGCAACCAGAAAATCAAGCTTAATAACTCCGAACAAGTAGGTTCAAGGAATACGTGAACTCACCAAAACTGTCGTTGGCTAAATGGATGGAGGAAAATCAGTCTGATATGCTTGACACAGTCGAATCAAATTCAAAATGGCTGCATCGTACACCGTTCTAAGCAAATTTCAAATATTTATAACCCAGATCGGATTAGAACTCACAAGTTTGGATATAAAGATCTTAAAAAGCTTAATTAGAGATCTTTTGCCGCCAAGAGTGCTGGAAGATATCGATATAAAGGAACAACTGCCAGGTCTGGATTTGTTCGCAAGACTACAAGAATATTGTTGGGTGTCTCAAAACAATCTTGGGCTGTTAAAACAGGTTCTTGAAATTGCTGGAAGAGTAGATTTAGTCAAGAGAATCGAAAGTTTTGAGAAGACAGTTACTGAATTAATAGATGCTCCGCAGTCGCTAATGGAGGTACTTCCAGGTAAGTGCATAGGGATATATATCAGACGCTGTGGGGGAGATTTGATTTTCACCCTATGATACCATTTTTTCCTTTCACAGCTCCTGGTACCACCTTGAAAGGTAGCCGTGCCGTGCCTTTGCATCCAAGTGAGATGAACGGTCAGCTAGCAGTGACAGAGACCTTTTTTTAACACTTTGGACAATTATTCACATGTTTCTATCATTGCAAGCTCCCATTCATCTCACTTTGACAATGAAAGGCACAGCTACCTTTCAAGATGATGGTGCTGGGAACTGTGAAGGAGGCTATTTTCAAAATTGACAAAAAACTAGAGATGGCACTAGTCTTGATTAAAGCTCTTGATCCTGAGTTTGGATATATAAACAGAATGCATTGTGGTCTAGCTTGGGTACATCAACACCATATAAGGCAATATGAACAAAAAGATGTTCGTACCCAAGCTAGACCAAAATGCACCTTGTTCCATCCAGGTTTAGCTTTGATCAACACCAAAGCTCTTCCCAAACTAGACCAGAATGCACCTCATTCCCCATCCAAGGTCTAGCTTAATGGTAATTTGAAAATGATATTACTTGTTAACAAACTAGATAGCCATTGTCATTTTCTTTTGAGAATAAAAGGATATGATGAAAGGCTATTGTTTTCTGCTGGTTTCTGATTAGCTCTACTAACCAAAGTTGGAATGTATTGTTTTCATTCTACAATTTGATTGGTTTTTGCTGTCTAAGTGGTCCCAGTTATAATAGTTGCACTGTAAAATAAAGCTTTAGGGGGCACTTAAATGAAAACGCCCCAATTTTTCGAAGTCCAAATAATTGAAGTATTTGAGGATAATTTGACTCAATTATGATTATGTAAACCAGATTAGTGAACATTTTCACCTGGGAGCCACTTGCAGTTGAGAGATTTTGGGTTAAAAGAGAAAAGAACAATAAGGTTGAGTAAATGACATCATTTACACACAATTTATATGCTGAATAGAATTGATAATTATTTTTATCTGCGACATTTTACTGTGAAGAATTTATGTTGCTTGGCTAAGATTGGGGCCATATAGATACGTTTAATTAAGTTTAAAGTAATTTCCAATTTTTATCAATTTTCATCCAAGTGCCCCTTTAAGAAACAACTATGTTTTTGAAACTCATTGTTTTCCATCACAAAAAGAAGCAACTTTTCTTCAATAAAAGAATGACAAACTTCTAAATATCTAAAGTCACCCTCATAAAATGAAGTTTATTGTATATATTACTTTCTTCAAAATTACTCTAATTCTGATTGGACAAGAGGAGTACGATGAAATCCCAAATTGTACTAAATAGAAAGGATGAAATGTTTTCGTGTTGATATATACACTTTAAAAATGTCGCACTGTAATCCATGGTCAAATGCATATTTCTAGTCATTTTTATTAGAAAGTGCAACATAAATCTGAAACATTTGAATTGGTTTCTATTCACTAGAAACTCATGTTTTAATTCCTTCCATACTTCAGTTTCTGTAGTGTTACATCTATTTGCTTTTAAAAAATTACCTACTCCAAGTTAATTTAAGGTTATGAGATTAGTTCAGAAAGTGCCATTGATAAGGAATTTGCAAACATTAACCGTGCACATAAATACTATGATATTTGAATTTTTACCACATCTGAAAATCAATTTTCAAATTTTTCTCCATATTCACATTCATTATAATGTGATTCATGAATTTGATTTAAAATTGGTTTGGGTTAAAATGTAGTCACACTACTATTCATGGTCGAATGCATATTTCTAGTCATTTTTAGAAAGTGCAATTCAAATCTGAAAGATTTCTGTTTCTATTTATTAGAAACTTCTCTTTCATTCATTCGATACTTCAGTTTCTATAGTGGTGCATTTATTTGCCTTGAATAATTATACGCAGTGTTCTCTTCTATTTCTAACATTTCGGGTCCTTCACGAATTTGCAAGATGTGATCCTATTGAAGGGCGCACATGTGTAGAACAATAGAAAAAATGACCTTTCCCCAACCCCGCCTCTAAACCTAAACCAATCACAGGGGACGTTGCAAATTCATGAATTTCCTATGATATATATATATATGAGATGCAGAATGTAAAACATGCTTAAATACGTTTGCTTAGCCACTACATTTTGTGGGAAATGCTTTTTTAACTTGACTTTGTACAATAGAAGATAAATAAGACCAAATAAGTTACTTTTTAAGTTTTGCATCTCATTTGATATTTTGCATCTCATTAGATATATGTATAAATGTACATACTACAACCTTTTTGCAATCAAGTGTGTGTATATATATATATACAACATACATGCATGCATCAAATATTTATGTATTTGTCTTTGATTATCATATGGGTCTGTCCTCGACTTTGGATGTTCTGAACTACAGTACACCATGTTGTGCAGGTTGGAGCGCTCATAGTGGGGATTAGACCCGCATGGTGCCATTATTGTAATTAATTTATTTTACCTCATAGATATATCTAGATAGATTAGTTTGCATTTGTACATATAAGTCTTAAAAATTGTTGTAAAGAGCATAGAGACTCAATTATCATTTTATCATCATTTTATGTGCTTTTAAGATTTATTATTATGAGATTAGTACAGAAAGTGCCATTTAGTTACAAACAAGTTACAAACATTAAGACTGCACATTAATCCTATGATTTTTGAATCTTTACCACATCTGAAAATCAATTTCAATTTTCGATATTTTCTCCTTATTTAGGAATTGTTGTTGACACCACATTGAAAGTGAAAAATAAAAATGCTGTTGCAGTTTTATTTCATAAGAATCCATAAGTAATTATAAAGTGTTTAAAATAGCCAGCTTTTAGATTATGGTTTTTGCTTGCTCTAAAGTAAACTTATCTGACAGTCGTAGTTATCTATCAAGCAGTCAAAAATAATTCATGAAAAATGTGAAATAGTTTTAATATATTTTTGTCATTAACACAATTTTTTCCAATGATAATAGCACCAAATACTGTTTTCCTTCGTTTACTCCTGTGTGATCCGAAGAGGTCAGAAGAACTCACACAAAAGACTAATTCATTGAGAGAGGCAATCTGCAAGAAATTAGAGTTGGAGCTCAAAGATGTGGCTTTCATCACAAAGGAAGATGCTAGCCATCAAGATTGTGTATTCATTCTATTCCAATTCCCAAATCTGGAACCCAAGATTATGGAACTGAATTGTGATGCTTTGAACAGAGCTGACTGGTTGGTGAGTCTTGGGGTTCTTCAGCTACAGATTGGTGGCAAGGCGTCTATTAACATCAAGGAAAATTTGCAGGATATAAGGCCAATCCCAAAGAGGCAGACTAGTGTTTTGGGTAAGTTGTTGTCTCTGCTTTCTTTGTTGTAAATTGTTGGTCTTGTTTTTCCTAATCTTTAGCTACTCGTAACTCTATGTATTTGTGACTGGTTTATCGAAGACCAATTCCAAAGAGACAAGCCTTAGCTTTCTGAGTAAGTTTTTGTTGTTGTTGTTGTTGTTGTTGTTGTTGTTGTATATTGTTGCTTTTGTGGCTTCCTCTTGCCATATGCAACACAATCATTTGTGACTGGTTATAAACTGGAAATCATTTCCTTTTGGGCTCATTGTGTCTCAGGGGATTTTTATACAAATAACTGTTTTATTTTCTTATTGTGTAATCCTACATAAACTGGGGTTGGAGTTTAGAATTTTTCTACATGGTAGGTCTAACACACCCTGTAATAGTATGATGTAATCATATGTTGTAGTTAGGCTTGCAGTGCATTGTGGACTTGTCCTTTCCCACCGACAACACATGGGCTTTAATGTGTTGAATACAGAGTACCTTATACAGTTCAAATATACTGCTTAAACCATACCATTCTTGTTCAATAGTATTACAATATGGTGGAAGAGGTGGAAGAGAGGTAGGCCAGGGGTGTGGCCTAAAATATTTGTGTTTGTGATTGTTTAGTTGATAATTTGTTGGCAAACCTGAAAATTAGAGAGGTGAAGGTTCCAGCTTACTTGAAGGAACAACACAATCTTTTTTTTCCCTCTACATAAATCAACTCCTAAACTCCAATTTAATCTAGAGCATAAGGCTTCAACATGAACCTTTAGCTTGGGAGTCACTGAGCAATCACTCCATGCTGTTTGATAAAAAATACCCAAGAATACAGATTTTTGCAATGAAGTTTAGTCATGGTGTTTCAAGGAAATGAAGTGTACAAAATTTGAGGGAACAAACTTCCTGTTTCATTTTTATCATTTAAATAAATAAAATAAAAATAAAATAAATCACTTTTATTTAAGTGTCTAGTCGTTCTAGCACTTTTGCACTAATTGGGGGCACTTTTCACTCATACGCACTACCACTACATTCAATAGTAAATGCACACAATGCTCGACTCACATGTTGATTTTTACGGAGGGAGGAAACCGGAGAAAACCCTAGTAGCATAGGAGAGAATCAAACAAACTCAATTCACATGTGGCGACCGCAGGGCTCAAACCAGCGACCCGACCCGTTGCTAACCGGTGAAAGACGACGCGTTAGCTGCGAACGCCACCCATGCTACCCATAAGAGTTCTTCTTTTCACTTTTCTTTTTCTCTTTTTTCATTGCAATTTTTAGCTGTGAATTCAAGCTTTGCTGTCCACAAAGATAATGTCTTGGATGTAATTCTTGGTATAGAACTTTCATTCCTTGTCAATGAAGGAGTTAGCAGCCAACTGCTTTCACAATGTCAGTCAGCACTCAACATAATCAGTCAACTTCAATCATCTTTTGATGATGGTGGTCCTGATATGAAGGCTGGCGTAGTAACCTATGGCAACCATTCCAATACACAACAACCAATAGCATTTGTTACAAAAGGCCTTTCAAAGGATTTTGATATTATGAAAAATGAAAGGCAATATTTAGGCGGAAAGGAATGTTCTGGAATGGGAGATGCTGTAAAGAAGGTTGTGGAGTTAACAGATGATGTTCGTAAAGAGGCTTCTAAAGTATGCATCATGTTTAGTAAGTATTGTGGTTCAATAATCTGTTTTACAATAACTTACAATTTTCTCGTGCGGTCTGTACTTAAAATATTAATATGTAATATATCTTATATACTTATATACTTTA